AGTCACTCCCCCCCACCCCCGACAGTTTGTATCTTCATAGCCATCAAAATGTGCAATTACAGAGGTCCATCCACGGCTTTAAAAATTAACATCCACCTTGCTGTCCGGTCCTGGAGTTGGCACTACATACAGCCCAAGGGCCACAGCCCTGCTTTGTAAAGGAAGCTTTGTGGGGACACAGCCTCGTTCATCGCCTGAAGCACTTCTCTAGGGCTGCTTTGGGCTATGAGAACAGACCAGTTGTAACAGACTTGATGGTCCACTTGGCTAAACTGTTTGCGACCTGGCCTTTTCAGAAAAAATTTGCTGACATTTGTACTATTCTAGGAGTGGAGGGAAAAAGGGACGGGAGGGAGGCCAAAAGGAGGGCCGATGAGGGGGCACGGCGGAGTGCCACTGTTAAAACATTCCGCTTAGCAGCCCCGCTGTTTTCAGGAACACGACCACTAACCTAATTCCTCTGTCACCGTATCGGTCACTTACGCGTAACGAAACAAACACAAAAGCCCAGGGAATTTGCTGGCCCTGTCCACAGGTCCAGATGTTGTTCTTGCTCAGGTGTAGCTGGATCTTGGATCAAGTAACGTCCCAGCTCCTCATCTCACGCTGGGGCCACTCTCACAGTGACAAGGTGGCTGCCGGCGACTCCGGGTTTGCTGCCTGTCCTCTTGACCACCCAGCAGCAAGAACACCGCCAGGGAGGGCAGAGGCCCCACACTGAGTCCGGCTGGCTGAGGGGTCTCAGTGGTCAGGGGCACAGAAGGCTCTGATTGGCTGGGCTTGGTCACCGCCCACCCTGGTGTGTTTCATCCGCAGCCATGGGAGCTGGGCAGGTCGTGTGGGTGAAGGGCTGGGAGCTGTGACCTGAGGAAGGGAAGCAGAGGCTGCACAAGCCTCGAAAAGCTTTCTGCTGCACGTGAGGACTCTGTCTGCTGCTTCACAAAAATTCACCACCATGGCCAACTTGAACGGCGTTTTCCAATGACTGTTAAAGGTACACAGTTAATGGGAGAGAAATCACAAAGCTCTTAAATCTTGGCTTTTAGGCTTTTAGCCTTTTAGCTCTTGCTGTATAACATGTTGCAAGGGGTCTCTGAACCCAATTTCAATGTGTGCGCGCATGTGTGCGCATGTGCATGGGGGCTTCCCACGCTAAGCAAATCTCAGCCGTCGCCAGCAGGGTTTTGGAGGGTTCGGCGCGATTCGGACACTGCCCGAGACAGAATCGGATTCCACAGGGTGCGACCTCAGTCCCAGGAGCCCACCTTCCTCTGCAGGCGCCAGTCATGGCCCAGGCTGTGACCTGGGCTGTGACCGACTGGTGACAACGTGAGGGTCCAACGACCCCCTCCCTGGGTTCCATGAACTTGCTGGAACGGCTCACAGAACTCAGGAAAACCCATCCACTCACTAGATGATGGGTCTACTACACAGGGTCTTAATGGACACGACGTGATGCCGGACGAGGACAGGTGCGGGGCCTGGATGGAGAGAGACAGGCGAGGGCAGGGTGTGGACGGACAGACACGCATGGGGACGGGAGAGAGAGGCGCGCGGGGGACGGGAGAGAGAGGCGCGCGGGGCACGGTCTCGAGGGAAGGGGCGTGTCCCCGTGGAGCCTGGGCCCAGCCCGCGGACGCATTCTGGCGCCCCAGCGCAGAAGCTCCCCAAGAAATGGACCGATGACCAGGCCTTTGGGGTTTTTATGGAGTCACTGTTACTGACTCAGCCTCCAACCCCTCTGCCCTCCCGGGAAGGCAGGGGGTGCAGTTGGAGTTCCAACCCTCTAACCACGGGTTGGACGGCTACCCTTGTAACCAGCCCCACCCTCTGATGGGATCCGAAAGCCACCCTGTTAACATGACAAGGAACAGCGTGATCACTCAGCACTTCCGGAAATTCCAAGGATTTGAGAACTCAGCGTCAGGTGCAGGGAACACCGAATGCATATTTACTATACATCACAGCATCACGTGCTCACTGTTCTCTCCCCTCGGCTTTATCAACAGCTGAGAGCTGCAAATGAAGCTGATGATGAATTCGATTTCAGAAAAGAAAGGACAGACAACAGAAGGGACAATCAGTTTATTCTGCAATCGAGATTCTGAAATGTGGGGACACAACCGCAGGCAGAGGATCTGTGTGGGTGTCACTTCACGAGGACACTTCACGAGGACGGTGACGAGGGCTTCTCCGGAAAAGCCACCGTTCTTGCTGACAGCGGGCAGTGAGAATGGGTGACAGGCGGCCTGTTTCTAGCCCTGGACAGGCACTTCGGCCTAGTCTCTAAGGATGAGCGGGGCCTTCAC